TCCCTCTCTGTGTCAGTGTCTCCCGTTTCTCCCTACCCCCTCTCTCTTTCTTCCCCCTCTATCTCTCCCTCCCCCTCTCCCCCTCTCTCTCTCAAACCGTAGCGTAGCAGTGCGAAGAGAAGGCGTGCGCACCGTTTGGCACCGCGAGGTGTGGGGGGTGCCAGACACACAGTACCAGTTTCCTCCTCCCCGGCGGAACTTGCAACAAGACAATTTCACTGAGCTGGCGGCACGGAATATTAATTCCTTATGGCGATTTCACGTCAGGATTAGCCTCGGCTTATCGCGACAACACACAGCTTCGCTCTCGGATTCCTCATCTGGATGTCTGTTTTGTTCATGTGAAGGCAAAAAAAAAAAAAAAAGAATAAAGAGAAGTCCCTATTTAACAATAGCAACGTAAAAAAAGCGTCTGTGAAAAGCGAATAAATACATGAAAGAATCATGTTGTATAAGTAGAAAACAAAGATTGCAGCGGAATTTCAACTGGGAGTGCATACATGGTAAAGTTAACGAATAGTTTGTTGTGTTTGTGAACAAAAGTGATAAAACTGTTGGGTTTTTTTTATTGTTTGTATTGTGTACTTTTGGTGATGAAAAAAACCGAAACAAACATCAACAAAACAATAGCATACTGCAACGACAATTGTTTGGACAATTTGTTTTGTAAAGAAGACAAATTTTGCAGAACAATGCAGCGCACTTTTATAATAGCGTGTGTGTAGCCTTACGATAAAATAAAGGACAAACCTTTTGCCCTCCCGACCTAGGAAACAAGAAGAGGTATCAGCTACAACACAATCAAAGCCTCTGCATTTTTATACCTCTTTAAAAAAAAAAAAAAGTTAATGTCAAGTCAAGACACAGTATAAGTTGACGCGCATCCTTATAGCTTATGATTTTTAATTAAATGCTATATGAATGAAAAAGAAAAACAAAGTTTTTATTTCTTTTTTACTATAAAAGTAAAGAAAAGTAAATAACTAAAAAGAATACAAAGACAAAATTATACAGATGTGTGTGTTTCGAGAAACTCAAATTCCTGGAAAGAGCGCATTGGATATGGAGCGGAAAATAAGTTTCTGAAGCCGTGCACTTTCTATTTCGTTACTTAAGACTGTGTGACATTCTAGTAAGTGTTGGTAAACGTGTGATTTTTATTGGAAACATTGAAATCTCAGAAACAAAAACTTAGTTCAAAATTTGGCAAACTTTTCTCTGCCAGATTTGGTCTCATTGGCCACAACAGAAGCCACAAGTCATCGTAAACATTAAAATTCTTCAAATTCTAATTCTTCGGTTTCGCTGGAGAAATATTCTCCTCTACGGATGTATTGATGGTCATTGTCAGACTTTGACGGACGAGTTATGGCTAGGGCTCCCCATAAACTGTTCGCTACTTCAGATTTACAAAGTTTTATCTGCTCAGTACCTAGTTTTTGAGAAATTTGACGTTAAAAAATATGTCAAGCTTTTTTAAAATACTATTCTTTGGGTATCTTAATAACGGCCCCGAATAACCTTACGGTTTTGATAGAGCTGATTTGGTTTCTGGGATCATGGTCTCAGTAACTCAAAACGGCCAAAATTGTCAGAGACAACTTTGTAATTCTGAGGTAGCAAGTTATTGTAGGCCTGGGGTCTGGGCACCGTGAGAGGGAGAGAGAGAGGGAGAGAGAGAGAGAGAAAGAGGGAGAGAGAGAGAGAGAGAGAGAGAGAGAGAGAGAGAGGGAGAGAGAGAGAGAGGGGGGAAGAGAGAGAGAGAGACAGAGAGAGATAGAGAGGGAGGGAGAGAGAGAGAGGGGGGAGGAGAGAGAGAGAGAGAGAGAGAGAGAGAGAGAGAGAGAGAGAGGGAGAGGGAGAGAGAGAGAGAGAGAGAGAGAGAGAGGGAGAGGGAGAGAGAGAGAGAGAGAGAGAAAGAGAGAGGGAGGGAGGGAAAAAACCCAAAGTATAGCGTTCGTTTTTTTCGTCGATTGCGGAAGTCAAACCTGATCTTACGCACAGAGCTCTCTCCATTCAACATCCCGCGGTTTCTTTAAAAAAAATAATTGATAGTTCCAGATCTGTAGACATCCGTACTCGATCCCTCATCCGGAAAGAAAGAATAGCAGAAAAAACGAATGAAAGAAGGAACGAACGAAAGAAAGAAAGAAAGAAAGAAAAAACGAGACCAAGAAAGAGTCAATTGAAATTTCTTATAATGTACTGAAGAGACTAGGGTTGTTGTTTTTTCGGTGTAACTTTTAACAGATTTCAAACGCCAAAAATATCACCCCCTTCACTCTACAGCGCTGTTTGATCTTCAGATAGGCAAACTTAAGCTGCCTCGATCAAAAAACTCTAAATCCCTCTAAATCTCAAGATGGCCCTTGGTGCAATCTCAATACTTTATATAACTGAGCAAAACCTCATTGAAAAGCCGACGAAGGTAGTTGAGTTTGATTCAAAAGCCTTTTTTAAAACTAAATTGTGCCTGATACCACGATCAAGGTAGAGATCT